AAAAAAAAAAAAAAAAAAAAGAGATATATTTTCTTATTAGAAATTAGTATTTAATTTAATAAATGTATTATTTAAATTACAAACTTATAATTTTATTTATTTTATTATTTTGTGTGTGTATTTGTGAAATTATGCATGTAAAAAATATTAACTCATGCAATTTACATGTATTTATTAATTTTTTTTAAGTTGAAGAAAATGAAGAATTTAAAAGTGAAAATGAAGATAATGAAAATGAGTTTATTCATAATAAAGAATATATAAACAATGAAGATAATGTAAGAGGTACTTTTTTAAATATAAATGAAGAGGTAGAAAGTGTTCAAGATAAAATGTATAAATTTAAAAAGAATGAAGAAAGCGAAGAAAATGAGGAAAATGACGTATATGAAGAAAATGACGTATATGAAGAAAATGACGTATATGAAGTAAATGAAGGAAATGAAGAAAATGAGGGAAATGAGGGAAATGAGGGAAATGAAGAAAATGAAGAAAATGAAGAAAATGAAGAAAATGAAGAAAATGAAGAAAATGAAGAAAATGAAGAAAATGAAGAAAATGAAGAAAATGAATTATATGAACAAAATGAATTATATGAACAAAATGAACAAAATATAGATGAAATAGTGCATAATAATACAGAAGATGAGATAAAAGATAATGAAGAAGAACAAGAACTTATGAAGGAAAATAAAGAAGATTTGAAACCTGAAGAAAATAAAAATGTTATTTATATTGATAACCAAAATATATACGATAGTACACATCAAGAACGAAATGAAATTACAGAATATTTAGAAAATTATCAAGTTATAAATGAAGAGAATAAAGAAAAAAAAAAGGAAAACGAAGAAAAAGAAAAAGTTAAAGAAGAACGAAAGAATATAGAAATAATTAAACAAGTGAAAAATGAGCTCAAAAAAAAAAATGATGAATTACAAGTAGATGAAAATAATGTAGATGTCAAATGTGAAAAAGAGAAATATGAAAATTCAGTAATACAATCATTGGATCAGAAAAATGTTAATTCATTTGAAGGTATTAATAAAAAGTTTGACCTTCCATCTTTATCTCCTACAGATATACTTATATCGAGAAAGGAAAATGAAAATATGACTATGTATCATTTTAATCCTCAAAAGGTTGGATATAAATATAATAATGGGTTAAAACCATCAGAAGGATACTTATTAATTTATCCACATGTATCAAATAATTCTATGCCACCAAAAATAAAAAAGAAAAAAGTAGGATGTTGTTAATAAAAAGAAAAAAAAAAAAAAAAATTATATAATTGTTCTAATTCCAGAAGTTTTTATGAATATATTAAATAGTACGTATATATGTAATTAATATATTTTTTAGATAAATATATATATTTTTTTTTTTCACTATGTAACTTTATATAATTCCAACAATACAACTTTTTTTTTTTTTTTTTTTTTTTTTTTTTTTTTACATATTTATAAAAGAATATTACTCTCTTTTATTACATCTAAAAGTAATAATTCCTTTATGTAATATTCTTTTTTTTAAATTCATATATTAAAATTATTTTAATTATTTCTATGTAATTTTATATATATTCTTTTTTCTCTATTTTTAATTATATGTTCACATAGTTTATACACACATTAGCATTCATAATGAGATTTATTCTCTTAAACTTTTAAAAATTGTTGTAATTTAATCAAAAATAACAATGAAAAAAGAAAAGAAAAATACACCTATATATAAATGTATAGTTTACAATATTAATATATATCTATAAGGAATTACAAAACTAGATACAAATGAGTCTTACAATTATCAAATTTTATAATTATCTAAAGAAATGATTTATAATATTTACTATCATTAATTAATTTTATTCTATGAAAAAAAAAAAATTAATTGAAATACCAATAAAAACACTCCTATTAAAAGATACAAAAATGAAATATTTCTTTTTAATATATAAAAAATACAAATAACATATCAGATTTATACTTTAAAAAATGTAAAAACGAAAAAAAAAGAAAAAAAATTATGGTTAACAGTATTATAAAAAAAAGAAAGAAAAGGTTATTTTAAAAAGAATATTTAACTTTTCCTTAAGTCCTTAAAAAAAAAAAACAAAACAAAAAGTAAAATATATAAAATAAAATATATAGCTACATATCAATATATTTATAAAAAATTAAAATCGCGAAAAAAAAAAAAATACTTATTTTTGTTTCATAAAAAGAATTTCATTTATTAAGTCTATCTTCTCAATATATTATTTTTTTTTTTTTTTTTTCTGATGATAATTTGTTATATGTTATATTAAAAAAAAAAAAAAAAAAGATCACAAATAAAAATAAATGGAAAAAATTTTCTACAAATGCAGAAATTTTTGGTTTCAATTCTTAATAAAAAAAAAAAAAAAAAAAAAAAAAAATTACTTAAATTATTACACGAAATATTTTCATAACGTATATATTTATATTTGTGATTTGAATGAAAATTTTATAAAATATTTATATTTATAAATTATTTATTATAATAGTAAAAATTTGTAATTAAATTAAGAGAATCTATTCAATAAATTAAAAAAAATAAATATATTAATGTATGAACTTTTTTATAATAAAGAAGAAATAAAAAATAAAATTGTTACAGTATTTTTTTTTTTAAATTAAATTAAAATTAAAGTTTTAATTTTCTAAAAATATTACAAGTATATTAATATATATCTTTCTTTTCCTTTTAATTTGCAAAGGTAAATTATGATAATAAATGATATAATAAATAAAAGAATAAAAGGAAAAATAAAAAAAAGAAATTTTGTATTCTATGTGAATACTAAAAAAAAAAAATTTTTATATATATTTAAAAATTTTATATCAACCATTTGTTATTACGTAACTAATAATCATTATATTAAGAAATATATATATTTTTTCTTTTAATAATTTTACTTAATATTTGTTTATTTTATTTTTAATTTTAATCATTTGATTCTTTTACATTATATATATTCTCAATTTTTTTTATTTGAATTCATTTTTTTTTTCCTTTCATTTTATTTGTATTAACATATATAGATGTATATAAATATATATAAAAATAAATATATATAAATATATAAATATATATATAAATATATATATATAAATATATATTTAAATATGTGTGTGTATATTTTTGTTTTTTTTAGATGTCTATTCATTTGTTAAACAAAAAAGCTGATAGTTTGCGATCAACAAATGTATTGCTTACAAATATGAATGCAAGTAAAGGAATGTATGAAATAATAAAAAGCAATTTGGGTCCTAAAGGAAGTTATAAAATGTTAGTTAGTAGTTCTGGTAGCATTAAAATAACAAAAGATGGAAATGTTTTATTAAATGAAATGATGATACAACATCCTACTGCCAGTATGCTTAGTAGAATATGTTCAAGTATAGATGAAAATTTAGGAGATGGGTCTAGTAGTAATTTAATTGTTGCTACTTCTTTAATATATTTATCAGAAAAATATATATTATATGAAAGTGTCCATCCTCGTATTATTACACAAGGATTTGATACAGTTAAAACTATTTTATTAGATTTATTAGAAACTATGAAGATTCCAATAAATATAGAAGAAAAATTTGATAAAGAGTTATTATATAATGTAGCTAAAACTTGTTTAAGAACAAAATTACCTATTACTTTATCAGATAAATTGGCTGATGATTTAGTAGAAAGTATTAAAATAATTTACAATCCCGAAAAACAAATTGATTTACATATGATTGAAATAATGGATGTAAAAAGAAATATGAGCATAAATACGAAATTAATTAGAGGTATGGTTTTAGATCATGGTTGTAGACATCCAAATATGCCAAATAGATTAACGAAATGTTTTATTTTAGTTTTAAATGTTAGCTTAGAATATGAAAAAAGTGAAGTTTTTTCATCCTTTGTGTATTCAACTGCAGAAGATAGAGATAAATTAGTAGAATCAGAAAGAAAATTTACAGATGATAAAGTAAAAAAAATTATTGAATTAAAAAGAACATTAATAGAAAAGAAATTTAAAGAGACTAATGAAATGTATAATTTTGCTGTTTTTAATCAAAAAGGTATTGATCCGATTAGTTTAGATTTATTAGCCAAAGAAAATATTATGGCTTTAAGAAGAATTAAAAGAAGAAATTTAGAAAGAATTATTTTATGTTGTGGTGGAAATGCATGTAATAATGTTTATGATTTAACAGAAGAAGATGTTGGATATGCTGGATTAGTTTATGAGATTTGTATAAATGATGAAAAATATACATTTATAGAAGAAGTAACAAATCCTAAAAGTTGTTCAATTTTTATTCAAGCTCCAAACGATTATACTATTAAACAAATAAAAGATGCTATTAGAGATGGATTAAGAAGTATAAAAAATGCTATTGAAGATAAATGTGTTCTATCAGGAGCAGGATCTTTTGAAATCATGGCTTATTGTAAATTAAAAGAAGAAGAAAAAAAAATTAAAGGAAAACAGAAATTTGCATTTGATATTTATGCAAATAGCTTATTAAACATACCCAAAATTCTATTAGAAAATAGTGGATTAGATATTCATCAAACATTATTCAATGTAATAGATAAATATAATCAAAATAATACAGAACCATTAGGAGTAGATTTAGATACTGGAGAACCAATAATAGCACACTTAAAAGGTAAAAATAAAAAATATAAAACTAAAAAAGCATTCAATTTTTATTTTTGTTATGTTTTTAATTATTAGAAAAAATAAAACTATACTTTTATTCTTTTTTTTTTTTTTTTTTTTTTTTTTTTTTAATAGGAATATACGATAATTATTGTGTAAAGAAACAGATTTTATCAATAGCAACGGCAATATCTCAACAAATTCTTTTAGTAGATGAAATTATAAGAGCAGGAAAATCAATGGGAGAAGAAAAATAATTTTTTTTTTTTTTTTTTTTTTTCAAAATTTAGCTTTTTATTGTTACTAATAATTTTTTACTTAAATAGCTTTTCATAGTTTATTATTATTATAAATGAAAATTAATAATATTTATATGTATAATTATTTTGTCATTCTATTTTACCCTTTTTTTTTTTTTTTTTTTTTTTTTTTTGCTATTTATAAAAAAAAAAAATAAGAATATAAAATAAATTTATTGTCTATATATATTTTAATTCTTTCATTCTATATTTTATATTATTTTTAAATATATATAAATATATATATATATATATATATATATATATATATATATAGAACGCAAATGATTCTAAAAATAGTTTATTTAAATATATTAAATTTCAATCTTCATTCACCTTATATATTTCCAAAAAAAAAAAAAGAAAAAATCAAGTATTTGAAGTTTTTTTATAAAATTTTAAAATTTAATTAATTAATAATATATATTTTAAAATGCATAGTTTTCTCTTTACAATTATAATAACATTTATTTTTTAATAGATAAAAAAAATAATATTATTTCATTGAATATATATAAAAGATACATATATATAAAAATGGGGTAAATATAATAATGGAATTTGTAATATAAAAAAATGAATATGAAATTTTTATTTATAGATTTAATGAATAATCTAAAATTTCATATTGGAAAAAGATCTTTATATAAAAAATTAGAAAAAACTCTTTAGTATATTTTAGAAAAAAAATACATATTGTAATTATTATTAATAACAATTAAAAAATAATTATAATAATTTACACAAATTATTAATAATATATATATTTGTAAATATATAAAAATGTTCAAAATAATTTAAGGACTTTGTATAATACTAAGATATATTTTTAGATTACTTATAAAATAAATTATAAAAAAAAAAATTTAATATTATTTTAGTCTTTTTTTTTTTTTTTTTTTTTTTTATGAATATTATGATATAATTATTTTCATCAAGTTGAAAAAAACAGTTTTATTTTTTTTAATTTGAATATTTAAATCCCCTTAAATTATCACTTATAGTTGAAAATATATTAATATATTTATAAATATTACTATAGTACTCCAACTAATTTGAGCTAAAAACATGCAAATATTACCTTAAATATTGAATTATTTTTGCTTATATGTTTGGTTTATAAAATATATATATATTTTCTTTAGTTTTTTTTTCACATTTTTACAAATTTTCTCCATATCAATTTCAATGAACTTTTTATATTTTTATTTATAACATCAATTAAAATTAATATTTTATTTTTTTCTCTTTATCTTTTGATAATGCACTCTACCATATCTATATTAATAATATATATATATATTTTTTTTTTACTATATGCTAAAATTTTTTTAGATAATAAACTAAACTTTTGAAAATAAATAAATATGCATACAACTTCTTTCTAATTTAAAGGTTTCATAACTTTACCTTGTTAATTATTTTATCGAGTGGATATTATAGATATTTTCAAAATAATTATAATTATTTATAATTTGAATATATAAATAATTTGATTTATATATATATATATATATATTATAATTTTTTTATTTATAATATTTTTAAAGTAATAGAAGAAAATATTATAAATACTTTAATCAAAAAATAATTTTTTTTTTTTTTTTTTTTTTTTTTATATACATAGCTTTTATAACGACCTAAAGAAAATATAACGTACACATATTTTTTTCAATTCAAGGAATAAGTGAATACACTATATTAAATGTCTGTTTAGCCATAAGTACTTATCATAACTATTTTTAAATTATTTATAAAATTCTAATATATTTAATTATTTTTATTGTACATAATTTTTTTTTTTTTTTTATTTTTATTTTGTTATATTTTCCTTTGTTTACTGTTAATTTTGTTTTTTTAAAAAAATAAAAAAAGTATATTTATGTTTCCAAAGTGGACTATTTAATTTTTTTGTTAAATTGAAAATACAAAAATAAATTGTATTAATCAGTATATATATAAATATATTATTTATCATATTAGTAAGAATGAGTTCTATTAAAGAATTAAAAACTAGCCAAGATTACATGAATAATGAATTAACATATGGAGCACATAATTATGATCCTATTCCAGTTGTTTTAACAAAAGGTGAAGGTATTTTTGTATATGATGTTGAAAATAAAAGATATTATGATTTTTTAAGTTCCTATTCATCAGTTAATCAGGGACATTGTCATCCAGATATATTAAATGCTATGATTAAACAAGCTGAAAAACTAACAATATGTAGTAGAGCATTTTTTAGTGATACTTTAGGATTGTGTGAACGATATCTTGCAAATTTATTTGGTTATGATAAAGTTTTAATGATGAATAGTGGTGCTGAAGCTAATGAGACAGCTTACAAAATATGTAGAAAATGGGGTTATGAAGTTAAAAAAATTCCTGAAAATTCAGCTAAAATTATTGTTTGTACAAATAACTTTTCAGGAAGAACTTTAGGTTGTATATCTGCTTCTACAGATCATATATGTAAAAATAATTTTGGTCCTTTTGTCCCTAATTTTATAAAAGTTGAATATAATAATTTAGTTGAATTAGAAAAAGAATTAAAGGATCCAAATGTTTGTGCCTTTTTTGTAGAACCTATACAAGGAGAAGCAGGTGTTATTATACCTTCAGAAAATTATTTAAGTGGTGTGTATGACTTATGTAAAAAATATAACGTCTTATTTGTAACTGATGAAATTCAAACAGCATTAGGAAGAACTGGTAAAATGTTATGTTCACAACATTCTAATGTAAAACCAGATATAGTTTTACTTGGAAAAGCTTTATCGGGTGGGTATTATCCCATATCAGCCGTTTTAGCAAATAATGATGTGATGCTTGTTTTAAAACCAGGTGAACATGGTTCAACTTATGGTGGTAACCCATTGGCTTCTGCAATATGTATAGCAGCAGTGGAAGTTATTATAAAAGAAAAATTGTGTGAAAATGCAGAAAAATTAGGTCCATATTTTTTGAATTCTTTAAAAAAAGAATTAAAAGAAAGCAAAATTGTTCATGATGTTAGAGGAAAAGGCTTATTTTGTGCAGTTGAATTTAATAATAGTCTAGTTAATGTAAAAGATATATGCATAAAATTAAAAGAAAATGGATTATTAACCAAACCTGTTCACGAAAGAACCATTCGTTTATCACCTCCACTTTGTATTACAAAAGAGCATTTAAATGAATGTGTGCAAATTATTTCTAAAACAATTAAGTGTTTTGATGATCTTATTTAAAAATAAGACTAATTATTTATATTTATTGCATATTATTTTATATATGCAAAAAGGCATTAATAATATCTAATGTAATATGTAACTTAACTTGATTGTTCTTTACTAAATTTTTTTTTTTTTTTTGAAATGTTATTAGTAATTTGTCTTATAAGAATGTATATATAAAATTTTTTTTTTTTTATTGTTAGTATTTTAGATTTTCAGTTTATCTTATTACTTTATTGTTTTTTTTTTTTTTTTTTTTTTTCTTTTTTTTTTTTCTTTTTTTTTCTCTCTCTGTGCTTATTTTTTAGATCCTATTTTACATTTTTTATTTAGGTAAAACATTTAAAAACCATTTTTTTATTTGTTTGCAATGGTGCAAATGTTAATAGAAATGAATTTCATTTTTTTTTTTTTTTTTTTTATTTTTGTATCTGTTTTTTTAATTATCACATTAATTATACGTTGTATTATTAAATCATTACTTCGTCACTCATGTTTTAAATGCGCACATCTTAATTAAAAAAAAATTATGAACTTTAATTTGTTTTATTTGATTTACAAAATTTATCTTAATAATTGTTCTTGGAAAATATACTAATGATTGTTTTATTTATTTATTTTTATATTATTTATTTATTCTTATTTTATTTATTTATTTTTATTTTATTTTGTTTAATTTTTTTTCTTTGGTTATTGTTCCTATAGAAACTCTTCCTTGTAAAAAAATTTTTTTAAAAATATATTATTAATATATAATTAAATATTATTATATTTTTTTGTATAAAAATATAATTAAATTTTTTTTGTATAAAAATATAATTTTTTTTTTTTTTTTTTAAGAAATTACATAAATATGAAAATAACAAAATTTCTAATTGTTAAAAGTTTTTTATATTTTTTTTTATGTATTTTGATATGTGAATTAGTATTCTCATTTTTCGTACATTTTTAAGTTTAATTTAACGTATATAATTTGTTTAGATATATATATATATATTCCTTTTTTTTTGTATTTTATCCTTTTTGATCAATATGAATAACATAACAAATGAAAATTTAAATATACGTGATGATTTAAGTCTTAAAAAAGAAGAAATTAAAAGCATAATTGAAAATGATGATGAAGATATGAATAGTTTTCTTATCCATAAGAAAATAAATTTAACCAAAGAAAAAAATGAAAATATAAAAAATATGAAAAAATTAATTTTAGATCATCCAGATATTTTTGTAAAAAATTCTGTTATTAATAGAGAATTAAAAAAAAATATAGAAGAGAATAAAATACTTTTTAACGATATAAATTTTAATTATGAAAAGATAACAAAATTATTTGAAAGTAGCGATTATATAGATTATATAAATAATTTAAAGTATTCCATAAATGAAGATAATTCAAAAAATAATTATTTAAACAATATTTTAAAAATCCCTTTAATACTTCAAAAAAATAATGAAAAAGAAAATTTACAAGAGTGCATAAAATATATAAAAATGGGTTGTAAAATTAAAACATTTTTATTTACATATTATAATTCTAATTTGGAAAATAAATGCTTAGTTAATTACTTGAAAGATTATGAAAAACACATGAATAAGGAAATTGAAATAACAAGAGAAAATATAAATAATTTAATTATGAAAAATGAAAACATAGATACTTTAAAAAAATACTTAGAATATTTGTTAGATATATATAATTATTATAATATAAGTGTTAGTAAAAAAGAAATAAATAAATACATTAATCAAAACATAAACAAACACAAAATAGAAAATAACAAAGAGGTAATGGATTATTCAGATTCATGTAAAACAGAAGGTAATAAAAATAACATTAATCATTCAGATAGTTTTATAGATAATGGTATTACTGATGAGATTAAAATTAATACAGAATATATTAAAAATGAATTTTTAAGATTAAAACATTATAATATATTAGTATCTATAAGAGAACAATTAGAAAAAAAGAAAAGAAAGAAAAAAAATAATATAAGTGTTTATGAAATAATCAAACTATTTTTAGACAAAATTATAAATTTAAAAAATACATACGAAAAGATATTTAATGTAATAGATACTAATTTATATAGGCACATTATTTTTTTATATTATTTTGCTTTTTCTTTAGTACATATTAAAATAAAACAAAAGAGTAACTTAAATGAAAATATTCATAATGCAAATAAAAGAGATAATAATTTGCTAAATAAACTTAATATGGAAATTCTAAGAGAAACAAGTAATTCCGATAATATTACTGACAAGGAATCTTTAAAAAATAAAGAAAATTATAAAAATATATCTAATAACAAGAATGCATATCAACATGAAAAAAATAATAAAAATAGTGATGGTAAAAATTTAGATAATATATGTTTTACCTCTCATGCATTTGATAATGATAATGCAAAATGTTTTGAATTATCATTAGAAAATGTGATTAATATAGAAAAAAATAAAAAAGACTTAAGTGAGAATAATATAAAAAGGGAATATTTTGATATTTTTACTTCAAAATATCCTTTTTTAAATTTAAATAGTTCTATTTTTAATTATATATATTACTATATTTTTTTCAAAAATGACAAAGAAATTATTAATTTTTGTGATGATGAAAATGAAAAAACAGAAAAAACAAAGGAAGATGAGTTTCAATTTAATGAAAAAATATATGAAAAAGATAATTCAGAGAATATACTAAATCAAAAAAATAAAATAATAAATCATTACGATTTTGTTAACATTTTATATGAAGAGAAAGATAAAAAATACAAAAGAAAAAAACAAAAAAAACAAAAAACCAATCATGAATATAAATATTTTGATTATTACACTTCAATACAAGTTTTAATTCAAAATGAAAAAATTAAAGAATCTGTGTTAGATTTATTTCAATATAGAAATGATAATGTATTTTTATCGATGGAAAAAGAAAATGAAGGTGTTGTAATTTCTATTATATTTCATAACATTTTAAATAAAATATTTATAATATATTTGTACGAGTTTCTTCAAAAAAATAATATATATTTTTATCAAAATATATTATTCTTTGATGAAATAGAAAAGGAAATAAGTAATGAGAATCGAAATATTATTTGTGTGATATCAGAACATATAAAAAATCAAAAAGAGTATTTTCTTAAAAATCATAATGATTTTTTTAAGTTAAATGGAGAAAAAAGAAAAATTGTAGAAGAAAATGATCAAAAATATTATCATGAAAAAATAAATGAAAAACTTAAACACACTTTTTTAATTTCATATTTTTATAATATAATTTTCATCTTAAAAAATATCAAATATTATGTAGATAAATCGTTATTTTATGTAATAATTTATTTGTTTGAAAATTCTTTTAAAAATGTTATTGAAAATTTAATAATAATTTTCTTAGCTAATCAAAATATTTTTTTTAAATCAAAAACATTTCATTTTATAATGGAAATACTTTTTAAAATTATTTTACCTTTCACTTTTTTTTTTCTTTCTAGTATTTTTCAAATTGATGTAACCAGTTCAACGGTTAAATATTAAGACAAAAATAATATACAATAAAAAAAAATATATATATATATATATAATATATTTATATAAATTTACTTTTCTTTTTTTTTCAGGAGAAGATTTTTAAAATATTAGACAATTATGGAATAAATATATAAAATCATAATTTTTATTTCTTTTGTTGTTTTTTTTTTTTTTTTTTCATTTTTTTTTTCAAGTATCATCAGCTTTTTCACTAAAGTAAAAAAAGTAGAAAATCAAATATATAATACTTATATTCTTTTTTAAAAATTAAATAGTAATTTACTTTTCTGTGTTAAAAGAAAAAATTATTTTTATATTTAAAAAAATTAAAAAATAATATTCTTTCTTTTAATTTTTAATATATGAATATTTCATCTTTAAAAAAATACAAATTATGGATATTATTCTTAGAATAATTTTTTTTCCCCTCTTTCATTTCGTTATATGTATCTTATTCTTTTTCTCTTATATAAAAAAATATAAACTTAAAAAAATATGCATTCACAAAGATGCAAAAAAAAAAAAAAAAAGAATAATTATTTCAAAAAACATATATAATTAAATAATTATGATGAACTAAAATTATAAGATAAATAGAAAATATTAATATAGGGTTATTACATAATTAAAATATATCAGCAACGAATTTGTTCTTTCATACTTATATAATAATATTATTTCAAACTGTATAAATAATTGTAAATATATCTTAAAGAAAAAAAAATTTGTGAAAATTTCATTTTTCAGATGTATAAAATTAGAATAGAACTCTATTTATTCATGTATATAAAAAAATATTTTCAATAAAATATTTTTACTTCCCTCTCTCTCTATCATATATATAAATATATATATATATATTAAATTTTTTTAATTATATTTATAATGACTGAATTATTTTAAAAAAAAAAAAAATTAAATTAAATTTGTTCCATTAGAAGTTATATATATTCATATGTTAAAAGAATAATTATTCTTACAAACATAAATATATGGAAATTTGAGTTTATAAAATATATGCACTTAATACAAGAAAGAGAAAAAAAAAAAAAAAAAAAAAAAAAAAAATATAAAAATCATAAATAAAAAAAAAAAACAAAATTTTTTTTATTGAATTTTTTAAAAACGTTACAAAATATTTTTAATATATCATGTGTGTCAAATTATTTAAACAAGAAAACAAAACAAAAAATATAAAAAAAAAAAAAAAAAAAAAAAAAAA